AATATCACGTTTTCCCAGAAATGTAAAAATTTGTCCTTAAAACAAAGTAGATAATTACTGCAATGCTGGCTCTTTTTGTGGTGGAATAGAAAATCTTTCATTAGTCTTTATTTACAAACAAAAGTGAGCATATTACAACATAATATTTGGAAATATATATTAAAAACGTAATAACTTTAAAATATAACATAATTAAGAATGTTAATACTATTCCACTGTAATAACTATCTTTGAGCATTAATTTATAAAGAGTTTGCACATACACATAGAATTAAAAAAATTTAATAATAAATACAACATTTGTATTTTAAGACTTTGCTATTTGAAACAAGCCAGACCTAGAAAAATAATTTAATATAGAGAAATTAATTTATTTACAAGTATTAATATCTCTGCATTATTTACTAATACAATATATTAACATTGAATCTTCTGTAGCCCATCTATACCGAGATTAAATGGACTACGTTTTGGTGTCCCTGCTAATGAAGACTTATAATCACAAAGATTAAAATGCTGTCCAGGGTTTGAGTCCCTGCAGTGCGCAAAGGTAGATAGCCTATGGAGAAGCTTTGCGTTAAAACACCAACTTCCTGTCCACAGAATACTTAATGCCATTATCACCTTTTGTGCCTAAAATATCATTAAAACAAAATTTGCAAACATCATATGAATAATCTGGTTTAACAGAAGTTATTTTAGCTTCACCTAACGATTCTTGAATAAAGCTTAAAACTGTTCTTATGAAACAAAGACACTTTACCCGAGTCAAAACAAAAAAGATACAAGAGATTCTTTGGTCCTTTTTATATGCTACTATATACTAGAATTAAGTTCATTATTAAGGTTGATCTTAATACCCAAAACAAAAAGACACTAGAATGCCAGTTAGTAACAAAAATATAAGCATGCGTACAGTATATTACATACTTTCAATGACAACTAAACTTTGGTACATCTTACACTTTATGGGGTTAATTTTTGGTATTTCATTAAAAATTCAAGTCGTTTCAGCAAATTTACAAAAAATGTGTCATAAAATCCTCCAGAAAAAGCCACACAGTTAACTACATTTACAGTATTTATATTCAGTAATACCGACAGTTTAATGCTTAGAAATTCATACACACATTTTTTGGTAGAAGCAGGAGGTGGTTATGTAGATTTCAATAGCCTCTATAAATGGTAATCTTTGGATTCAGGTTCAATTTTATTTTGCTCTTTTAGGCATTAGTAATAAACAATCACTATTCAGAGGCCAATCTAAGATGTCACAACTGTGAAAAATCATCAGGTCTATAAGATGAAGAAGTTTCCACCGGATGAAAATAGTGTAACTGATGTTTTCTTAATTGTGTTGGTAGGTTGGAGGACGTGTACTCACTTTGGAATGATGAGGTAAAGATTTAGTGTCTGATTCATTACTTTGTTGATTACTAGACTGCTGATGGAGTACTTGTTTGCTGCCATAACCAAAGTAGTTTGATACTGGTCTGACTTTCTGTTCTATAGAAGACTTGCCCCTCTGTTTCTGATGTGGATGATTCTGTAGCTTATTTTGTCTGAACTCCTGTAGATGCTGCTGAATTTCTTTGTAGTTTACATAATGACTATACTTGCTTGGATGAGAAAAGCCTAATCTGTTTCCCGATCTAGAAATATAAAGGCATATCAGTACTTTACATAGACAAACTAAAAATTCAAGCCCTATATCATATATAAGCCTTTTTTTTTTTATAAAGAAGTTGTAAAATTTATTGCAGTCAATATGTTTATATATATATATATACCACCTGATAAGAAAATTAATTATTATAAATTGGTTCTGAATCCAAACTAGACTACACTATTTTTTTAACAACAATAATATCAATACCAACTACATAAAATCATAACCCTGCCTCAATCGTATCTTCTGCTTAAATCGTACCTCTCTATTTCCTTGTTGATCTCAAAATTGTGCATGCCATCATTCTTTTGTCTCTGTACAGAAAAAGTTACCACGTCAGTATTTATATATACATATTTGGTATAATAAAAAAGAAGTATCTCGAAATATATATAACTAGAACAATACGTTTGCGTTAGAAACCTAACTTTAAGACTGTTTACAACTTGTCAAACAGAAGCGAGTAACCAATATATCTTTTACTATACAACTTATCACTTTACGTTTTTGCCCTAAAATTATCAACTAATATAATTAATGCATCTTACTTATTCACAAAATGTAATTCATTCTTTTATATTTCAAATCTAAAATGTAATTTCTAATATCTTTTAATAAAAATATAATGAGAATGAACTGAACTCCTAAATCATGAGAAAATTATCAAAAATTATCTTGTTCTTTCACTTCAAACACAATGAAATAAGCTACACCAAAAAATTAAAAAGGTAAACACTTAAAATCTGCAAAACTACGTGACATCTGAAAGAAATCCTGTAAACTTGTATTAATACCTATGTGCATCTTTCACGTGACTTGTTGTGAAAATGTGCGACTCTTTCAAAATATCTTAATGGTGTTACCTATTATAGAAAAAATACCTTCATTTCAGATTTGATTACTTGATTCTGTTTTTATTATTGTGTCCATATACAGCTGTGGAAAATTGTTACTTGCTCTAAGTATGTAGAGATTTTTGATGAAAGTACAGCTTCTCAGAACTGTTAAATTTTTAAAATCAGAAAAATACATAGACAAGTATCAGCTCATTCTGGTGTGTCCAAGTTAAGTGTGGGAAGGTTGTCACACAACTAGACAGCTTTAGTAAGGTCAACTATCCAATGTAATGAAAGCTACCAGTGCAAAAGGGCCATCAGGTGTTGCCAGTCCACTGCCCATGGACTAAGTGTGGATTTTAAGGCAGCAACTGGAGAGATTAACAGTGACTAAACTGTAAGGAACAGAGTCCAGATTATAGTTGAGAAGATGTGCTTCAGGCTCTCATCCACAACACTACATAACTCATTTAAACTGTTGTTGAGATTACCAAAACTCACAACGTCATCAAGTGTTTCACAATTGGTCAAGGTCTCTATTGTAACTAATGATTGATGGGTTTATGTTTGAAGAACCAGATACGAATGACACACTAAGTATGACTAGGTTATGGCATTGGGAAGCATGTTTATGAATGCAAGTACAGTTCTTGCTTCCAAGGAACAGATTTACTGCTCACTATTTACTAATATGATATAAGACTAATTTTTTTTTAGAAGTACAATCAGATCATATTTCATTCTGATGAACAACAATGCCTAGTGTCACACTACGAGGATTGAAATGGTCCACCTTAAACAATAAACCACAAAAGTCTTGAACTGTCCTGTAAGGAATCCTTATCTAAATCCCATAGAATAGTTCTGGAACTTTATTGCTTTAATCCACCAAGAAACATCCTTAAACAATAATCCACAGAGATCATGGATTGTACTGTAAGGTATCCTTATCTAAATCCCATAGAATAGTTCTGAAATTTTATTGCCTTAATCCACCAAGAAACATCCTTAAACAATAATCCACAGAGATCATGGATTGTACTGTAAGGTATCCTTATCTAAATCCCAGAAAATACTTCTGGAACCTACTTGCCTTATTCCACCAAGAAATGTCATTAAACAATAGACAACAAAGGTTACGGATTGGCCTGTAAGGTATCTTTGTTAGAGAGTGTGGTATTTCATGGACTTGAGGAATGGAACAGGATCATCCCATAACATCAGGTACCAACTGGTCAGAAATATGCCGCACTGATGTTGATGGTGGGAGGTATACTTTTTTTGGCAGGTGTGACCCTCTCGGATAAGTTCCTTCGGTCAGACTCTAATATTGATCACTTTGAATTTCACAGTACTTCATTCACATAAGTCATAATTAGTGAAATGTTCTCAACAAAACTGATTTATTATCTGCACTGAGCAAATAAATGGTAATTCTAAAATAAACTCTTAATTCCTGCTTTGTTGTTCATTTGACTGAAGAACACAATTTAGCAATATGAATTTGTCCCTTACGTGTTTCAGTGTAGCTGTAATTTAACACCTTTTGTTATTAAATTACATCCACAAGCAGCTAACTAACTGATGTGCATGGATGTATCACATGCTTTAGAATTCCCAAATACATGTTTATATTATTGGCAGTAAAGGAGTATCTTGGTTTTTTCCAAATATTTAGAACTACATGTAGTATTCTTAACAACATGCTTATTTATAAAAAAAAGCAGGAGGCTTGTTATCATATCTGGTGTTTATATACTTACTTAGGAACTTATTTCTGTCCACCATTATACATTATCACAATGATTTCTTACAGTGTAGATATTAAAACTATAATATATCTTCAACTGCTAACAAGTGGTTATTGTTTTTACTGTTAGAAAACAATAAACGGTACGCAAGTACTTTTTCTATCGTGTTAAGTGAAAACGAAAGATGTATTGTTGTAAACGATTGATTGTAGTGTTAAGTGAAAACGAAAGATGTATTGTTGTAAACGACTGATTCTAGTGTTAAGTGAAAACGAAAGATGTATTGTTGTAAACCATTGATTATAGTGTTATGTGAAAACGAAAGATGTATTGTTGTAAACGATTGATTATAGTGTTAAGTGAAAACGAAAGATATATTGTTGTAAACGACTGATTCTAGTGTTAAGTGAAAACGAAAGATGTATTGTTGTAAACCATTGATTATAGTGTTAAGTGAAAACGAAAGATGTATTGTTGTAAACGACTGATTCTAGTGTTAAGTGAAAACGAAGATGTATTGTTGTAAACCATTTATTATAATGTTATGTGAAACGAAAGATGTATTGTTGTAAACGACTGATTCTAGTGTTAAGTGACAACGAAAGATGTATTGTTGTAAACAACTGATTCTAGTGTTAAGTGAAAATGAAAGATGTATAGTTGTAAACGATTGATTATAGTGTTAAGTGACAGT